CAGTCCAGCTGAAGCTGTCTCCATACGTGAACTACTCCTTCCGAGTGATGGCAGAGAACAGCCTGGGAAGGAGCTTCCGACCGACGCGTCTGACAGTATTTGCCAAAGCTGCAGGTAACGCTGGACTTTTGTGGTATGAAATAAATAGAGTCAAACTACAGTGGGAACCCTGGGGAGGGTTGGGGGAGGGTAGGAGATCAACCAAAGGACTTGTATGCATGCATATGAGAATACCCAATGGACACAAGACACTGGGGGGTGGGGGAAGCCGGGGGAATGTCAAGGGCGGGGGGAGGGGGAGGAAGGAGACATGTGTAATACTCTTTGTAATACTTTAAGAAATAAAAAAATAAATAAATAAATAAAATAGAAAAGTTTCCCACTGTTTGAAAAAGACCAAAGCTTACATGTGTGTGGCTGCTTAACTTCTAGAACCAGATAAAAATCCCATGACTGTGGAAGGACTAGGATCAGAGCCCGATAATTTGGTGATTACGTGGCAGGTGAGCTATGTATAAAGCCTTCAACTTTCCTCTGTACACTTTAGAGTGAAAAAAAACTAATTTTAAAATAATACCTGTATTAAAATCCCATTTTACCCATTTTGAAGGAAAATGTACATTACATATCTTTATTTAAAAGACAGTATTGTGTAGTAGTTAAAATCTTGATCCTTGGAGCAAAAATGAATGCGTGCAAATTCCAGCTTTGCCACTCACTATGTGACTTTAAGCCAGTTGTTTAACATCTCCATTATGTATTTGTATGATTGGAATAATAATAGGACCAACTTCATATAATGCCTACAGCAGTGCCTAGCACATACATGTGCTCAATAAATGCTAGCTAGTAGTATCACCATTGTATAGAACCATCTAGAAGACATGTACCAAGTTATTCCTAATAGTCAACTTCTTTTCTTTCTTTTTTTTCTTTTTGCTTATCTGTATTTTCTGGACTTGGAAAATTAACATACAATTTAAAAACTTCAGATAGCTCTGTTCATGCATGCTCATGCTTGTATACTTTTTGTACATACTTACGTATATATGTACATGTAGAAGCAAGAATAGATGCAGTTCACAAGTTTCAGCCTCCAAGTGAAGTAGACAATGATGTACTGTCACACAAACAGGAAGATGTAGAGGAACCTACCTAACTGAATGTTTTAAGTCACCCACCCTTGACTATGGAGCCAGAGTTTGAGAGGCTTCTATGGTATATACTACAAGATAGAAATGAACAATCTTTGAAATGTGGGCACTAAAAAAGCTTTGAATGTCATAAAAAATGAAAGAAAGATAAAAGGTCCCTGGAGGATATGTTCGCAGCTTATATTTTAGTGTTTCAGTACTCACTTTAAGTCTGGGAATTGGTTTTGTTGTTCTGTAAAAGGTTGTGCAGTCGATCTGTTTTATAAGCTCTGATTATTTGGCTTTTCTTGTAGCCCTTGAATGGTTTTGAATCAAATGGGCCAGGCCTTCAGTACAAAGTGAGCTGGCGCCAGAAAGATGGTGATGATGAATGGACGTCTGTGGTGGTAGCAAATGTATCCAAATATATTGTCTCGGGCACGCCAACCTTTGTTCCCTACCTGATCAAAGTCCAGGCTCTGAATGATGTGGGGTTTGCTCCAGAGCCAGCTGTCGTTATGGGACATTCTGGAGAAGACCGTAAGTGGCTGACACTGTTTTGTTTACACTTTTTCTCAGCAAAACAGACTTAACAAAGTGCAAGCCAAGTCTATTCCCAGACGTGTTTAGAATGGGAGGAAGAGAGGCAGCAATGATTTTTGTTCAACATTTCTGAGTTTAAACAGCCTACTATGTAGAAAATAGGTTCAGAATGTTAAAAGTTATTACTTTTTACTTTTTTAAAAATGTCATTCTTTTTGGGGGAGAGGGTTAATCCTCACTGGAGGATTTTTTTTCATTGATTTTAGAGAGAGTAGAAAGGAGGGGAAGGGGAAAGAGGGAGATAAGAGAGAGAGAGAGAGAGAGAGAGAGATCGATGTGAGAGAGCCATGTCAATTGGTTGTCTCCAGCATGTGCTCCAACTGGGAATTGAACCCACAACCCTAGGATTCACAGGCAGATGATACTAACCACTGAGCCACGCGGGCCAGGGCAAGATACATTATTCTTTCAAAGTCTACTCTTAGTCCTTGATCATTTATAGAATAGGTCTGGAGCATTGCTTCAATAAAGCCAAAATTATTAGACAGTGACTTTTTTTTGCATGAAATTCAAAATAACATTGGTCCTATCCTCCCTCCCTCTCTTTCCCTAGTCCCCATGGTGGCTCCTGGGAATGTGCATGTGACCGTGGTGAACAGTACCTTAGCTGAGGTGCACTGGGACCCAGTGCCTCCGAAAAGTGTGCGAGGACACCTGCAAGGCTATCGGGTAAGTTAAAGGAGACCTTCCCTGTTCTTCCCTTAGGAACAGCCCATCAGTGAAGGCCTGATGCACTTTTCTTGGCTGGAGAAGTTGTTCTTGAGAGTTCATCTGGTTTATCGCCCCAGGCAGGCCACATCTAAACAACCCCAGCTGAAACTGAATCAAGATTTCACTGTATCCAAAAGTGGGGGGGGGGGTCTCCATTTTTCACACAGATAACCTAAGATTTTGCCAACTAAGCAATTAACATACGCACAAAAGATGGAAAACTGATGTTTGAAAAATCAGATATAACAAAATGCACCTAGCTTAAAAACTATACCAACCACATGTGAATACACACATTATCCTGAAAATAATGTAGATATTAACAAAATAATTCATATTATACTTTAAGATCATAAAGTACCAACTGGGTCATTCTTATGAGTATCAACCATCTTCATTCTTGGGAAGCACAGAAAGAAGGGGTTTTTTTTTTAATTGATAGTCATCTGTTTTTACATTCACCATAAAGAGTCCCTCCTTTGATTTGTCAACCCTGACCCCTAGAGGTCACTTTTTGCACTGCATCATGTTCAATTTTATTTTTTTTCTCTAACATTGTTCAATTCTGTATATGTTGACTTCTCTTTAAAAAAATGTCTTTAAACTGCTCAGAAGAATTTAAAAGGACTTAATAAACAACAATTCTGGATTTTTAACCAAAGTTAATCAACACTTTGTTAATCAACTACAATATAATACAAAAAATAAGTGCGAGAGCCCCAGACTTGGAGTCACTCCTGATTGTCCTGTGCCCTGTACAAGTCACGTGGTAACCCAAAGGCTCATCTGTACTATAGGAATAATAATAATAACAAACGCTTCACTGTGGGTTTTAGGGCTAAACTAAATGACATATTGTACATGAAGTTCTATTAACTCTGGAAAAAGTATCTAAATATTGGCCAGTAATTTTTACTTTTAGAATATTTTACATGTCAGACACGGAAATCCTTCTGTTGGCTTTTAGAGAGAACTGAATGGGTGTTGTGCTATTTCATTTATTTCCCTTATATTCCTCCAACAAAATAGGATAGCCCAGCTTCATCAGATATTCTTAATTTGGCTTTCCTCAATATCTGTGGGCTTCTGACTCTCCTGCCTCAGAATCAATATTTTTCAGTTTTGCCAGTAATCTTCCAAAATGCACCAATTACGGGAATTTTCTGGGGAAAGGCCCATAAAACTTTAATCTTGTTTGCCTCCTTATACATCCCTGACTTTTGTTCTTGCTGCTTCAGATTTACTACTGGACGGACCAGAATTCATCAAAAAGAAACAGACGTCACATTGAGAAAAAGATCCTCACTTTCCAGGGCAGCAAGACCCACGGCATGTTGCCGGGGCTGGAGCCCTTCAGCCACTACACACTGAACGTCCGCGTGGTCAACGGGAAGGGGGAGGGCCCGGCCAGCCCCGACAGAGTCTTTCATACGCCGGAAGGAGGTATGAGGTGGACGTGTCTCTGAGACCCTAGCAACACGTGGCACGTGCTGAGAGGCTGTGTGTGGCAGAAGGGCCCCCAAATAAAGTATATTCTGGAAGCCGAATGTGATTTCCCACAGATGAACACAGCACGCACGAGCTGGCTCATTTTCGATACTGGCTTGAGGCCCTTATGTGGACTGAGGGAGTGAAGGCGTCACACTGCAGAATGCTGCCCTAAAATCCCCTCTCCCTGGACTTAAATTTTTGTCCACCCTTCGTCACACTGTCAGAAACCTTGCTAACTTGATATTTATTTGGGTCATTAGGAAGCAAGCTGTATAGCTTCTATAAGCCCAGTTACCTAATCTGAAGTGTGGGAACTAAATGTGATACCCTAGGAAAACCATCTACAAAAGAAAATAATTTACAAGTCACAGTTCATTTCTTTCTCAGGGCACCTGCATAGTTTATTCTACACATGAGCTGAGTTAGAGGTTGGAAGTCTTGATAAAATGGGTTAGGAAGAGAAGGAAAAAGTCATTGCAAGTGTAGCCCACTGCAAGAGGAGGAGGAAGAGAGGCCCACATATTTGTTATGTGGGAGTGAGGACAGGAAGAGTTTGGACATGGGAGCCTAGTGGATGAGGGAGAGAGGCCATACGTGAGAAAGATAGGGATTAGAAAAGGTACTGAAAATCAGCCTTACCTCTTTTAAATTTTGCCTCAAGCCAGTATTGAAAATGAGCCGGGTAACGTCTATGGATTCATTAGTTCTTTTAGATAAAAGCAGTTCACAGACAAATTCTGTCCTGGCCCCTGGTTGAAGGGCTCATGATGTCAGCGGCTTCCCAACAGTCTCTGAAGTCATCCTGTGTCCCGGCTCCCATCTCATCATGACTGCTGGTCCTCCGTCCCATCGCTCCTTAGAGGTTAAGGGCTCCTTCCACTCAAGGCTTTCCCTAGAGAGACTCCACACTGGTCCTGGATAGTTCAGGGGAAGGTATCATATAGGAGATGACCAGGGGATGAAAGGATAAAGAAGAGAGGGAGTAGCATGCTCAAGACACAAAGGTGCGAAACAGCATGGCTCCTTCGGGGAACTACAAGTTGTGTAGCCGGGAATGGTGAGAAAAGAGGGGAAGGTCAGCTAGGGAGGACCCATATGGATGGTCTTAAACGCTGTGATATTAAGCCGGAGGGTCTTAACCTGGGGACTGTAGTCTCCCATTGGGAATCAATGAACACCAGTATCATGGAAAAAGGTGTATAGTATTTTTCTAGGGAGTATTTAGGGCTGTCATCAGATTCTCAAAGGGGTCTGTGGTCTTCCAGAGTTAGAAACCACTTATTGGTTTGGGGGAAGCTTAGAACTGTACCGAGCCAGCTCAGCCAAGGGTTCGAAAGCCTGAGTGAGGGTGGCGGAAGGATGAAGAAATGACAGAGAGAATAAGCTGGGTCTAGATGGGTCTTCCTGTGCCTGGCTGAGGCCATAGAGAGAGATCCAAAGGCAAGCTGAGCCTTTATTTTATAGCCAGAGTTAAACAAGGTAGTGGTCACCATAGTTACAATGTTCTTGTGAGTTTCACTTGTTTTGGCAGCACTTGCTGCACCTCCCACAGCCCATTAGCTACCTAGGAAGGATCTAGGGAGTGTCATAAGGTCAAACCTAATTATACTAAGAGGACTGTGCCCTCTAAGCTGGGACTTGTTTGTGGCTTTGCCAACAGGTCAGTCCGAGGCTTAACCCTATAGCTGCGCCCTACATAGAACGATGAGCCAGGTGTGTTGTAGACACAGGCAAAGGCCACAGAGGCACTGAAATGGGGTGGTGGCGGAGAGCAGAGGAGGGAACGAGGTGGAATTCACGGGATTTAGTGTCCCAGGAGATGGTGGGAATGAGGCAAAGGGGGTAATTCAGGATGGCTCCCTGGTTTCTGGCTAGAGTGACAGGTAGAACAGTGGTGCCATCAGTGGGTCTACTCTAGGGCAGTGGTCGGCAAACCCGCGGCTCGCGAGCCACATGCGGCTCTTTGGCCCCTTGAGTGTGGCTCTTCCACAAAATACCACGTGCAGGCGTGCACGTACAATGCGATTGAAACTTTGTGGCCCATGTGCAGAAGTTGGTTTTCGGCCTGGGCAAGTCTATTTTGAAGAAGTGGCGTTAGAAGAAGTGGGGGTACGTTCACTGAGGTCGACCCCTCAGATTGAGGACGTTTTTAGCAAAGGCCAGCTTAGAAGTTCCCTGATTAAGTTAATAACAATGTACCTACCTATATAGTTTAAGTTTAAAAAATTTGGCTCTCAAAAGAAATTTTAATCGTACTGTTGATATTTGGCTCTGTTGACAACAGTGGTGCCATCAGTGGGTCTAGGGAATGTGGTAGGTCGGGTAGAGGAGGTCATGATCATGAGGGAGGGCTGCCACCATCCATCATCCTCTTGAAGGAGCCATAAAAGAAGCCTGGGCATGTCTCCTCTGGCCATTTGCCAACCTCTGGCACAGAGAACCTGACACCTGCAGGCCTGCCCCAGAGCCAGGGTTTGCCAGCAGTGGGGCTTTTGTCCATCACCACGAGATCCTGGGCGTCTGTCAGCTTCCGGATGAGACCTGCTCTGCGCCTGGGCAGGCTGGCTCATGCCAGGAGCCCAGCAGGCAGGTTGTTTGGAGACACCTGGTTTGTTGGGGAAAACAGCCCTTAATAGCCCAGCACACAGCTGCTTCTACTCAGAGGCCTCGTCAGAATAGTTTCACTTAGTCACTAATTTGCTTTTATTTTCATTTTATTTTTTTAATTCCACAGTCTCTTAGCATAATTAGGTTTGACTTTCATTATACAAACGCTAAAGTAAGTTCTTTTTTTTATTGTTGCCAGTATTATAGATGTCCTACATTTCCCCTTCTTTGCCCCCTTCCACCCAGCCCCCACTCCACCCCAGGCCTTTCCCACTCTATTGTCTGTGTCCATGGGCTATGCATATATGTCAACCTATATGTTCTTTGGTTAATCTCTTTCTGTCATCCCCACCCCTCTTCCCTCCGAAATCTGTCCGTCTGTTCTATGCTTTTATGTCTCTGAACCTATTTTGTTTGTCAGTTTATTTTGTTCATTAGATTCCACACGTAAGTGAGATCATGTGATATTTGTCTTTCCCTGACTAGCTTATTAACTTAGAAAATACTCCTTTTTATTTTATTTTTTTATTGGGGGGTGGGAGGAGAGAGACCTAGTGCTCTGTTGTTCCATTTATGCATTCATTGGTGGCTTCTTGTATGTGCCTACCAGGTGTCAAACCCACAGGTGTCAAACCCACAACCTTGGCGTATCAAGACAACACTCTAACCAACTGAGTTAGCCAGCCAGGGCCACTAGTTTGCTTTTATTAAAACATCATTCATTAAACAAATAAGTACAGTATCTTTTTAAATTTTTATTAAATTTATTGTCTTTTTAAAATTTTTTGGTTTCAATCCATATAAAGGCAAAGTCTGTATTTTGAGAGAATGGTTTTCATGAATCTAAATGGAAATGGTGAGAAAAAAAGAGAAAGAGATTGGGTAAATGGGTACCTGTCACAGGTTTCTATCAATGTATTTTCAGCTGAATCAGGAACAAGAATGTGTTAAAAAAACAAAACAAAATGTTATGTGAACATGGTGAAATATGTCATTTTAATACATTTTGAAACATTGAAAAACCTTTATGTTGACTGTGTTCTCATTATAAGTTCCCAGTGCCCCGTCCTCCTTGAAGATTGTTAACCCAACACTAGACTCTCTCACTTTGGAATGGGATCCGCCAAGCCACCCGAATGGCATTTTGACTGAGTACACGTTAAAATACCAGCCAAGTAAGTTATTGGGAGAAGGGAAAATGGAAAATATCATTAAAAAGGAAAAAGAAAACTGTTATCTTAAAATACCAACTGGTTATTCTTTATAGCTGTGGAATATGTACATATACCTTAAAGTGTTATTCCAAAAGGAACTTCAAATCATACTTTTTAAAGAAAAATTACATATATGGTATTGAAAATTAAGTATTCTGTAGGTTAATACAGACCTTTGAGCATGGGGTTTAGGTAGGTGCTATCATTAGACATTATCTGTAACTAGAAAATAGTAACCCTCATTCATTTGGCACAAGACCTCTGAACATGAGGTTTGGGATTATTTAACAATACATGACTCCACCTGCAAAATTCCTGAGATGAGAAATGCTGTTGTGATTCAACTATAAAATTCCCTTAGCTTAGGAGCCAGTAGAGACGCTATTTCCCCCTCTTATGCCATATTATAGGAACTGTAAGAGGTTATCAGTTATGCCAGGCAAAAAAAAGTCAGTGTGATCCAAACTTGACATTTTTGGTGGACACATTTATTTATAATAGTATTGCTATAACAATTAATGGGAAATGCTCTTTTTTCTTATTGACAGTTAACAGCACCCATGAATTAGGCCCACTGGTAGATTTGAAAATTCCTGCCAACAAGACACGTTGGACTTTAAAAAATTTAAATTTCAGCACTCGGTATAAGTTTTATTTCTATGCACAAACATCAGCAGGATCAGGAAGTCAAATAACAGAGGAAGCAGTAACAACAGTGGATGAAGGTAAGATGGGTATGTATAAAATCCATAAAACTATAAGTATTGTGAAACAACGCTCCTTAACTTCAATGTGTACTTTCTCTTTTCTTCTGACCATGGAGTATTCATCTTACCCAATTAATATAAACACTTATGTGTAATTTCTCATCCATTTATATAAAATCAATTATTTAATTCTTATTAGAATATTACTTGATATTTGTTTTCCAAGTTCATGTGAAAATTTTAAACTTATATTAATATATTGAGGTGAGAGTGGGAAATTACAAAATTTTGCCACACTTGAATTTGAAGTTCAAGGCACTGTTTTTTCCTTTCTACAACTTTACTACAACTTTACATATACGTACACATGTATGTAATACAAATATATATGCACACACAGACATGCATACATATACTTAAGTAAATATAAGTAATTCAGGTTCTGGTCTTGGTTCACCAGAAAGTGGTTTACTAGTCCACATATTGATTTAGGTTTTCTAGCAATGAAATGAAATAGTGCGTTTATCAAACGAGCGTGGGACTCTGTACCTTGGTAGGCCATCTGGTACAGAGAAAGCAAAGTAGCTCCATTAAAGTATCTAGAAATGAAATTAATACTTTCATATTTTTTAAAATTATTTTGAAAAATTTTCGATTCAGTAAAAATATTGTAAAAGATTTCCTCTTTTTGCATGTCTCTAAATTGTAGAATTGCTTAAGGATTATTGATTTGATTATCTTCCATAGCATAAGAAATTGACAGTACTACTCCAAAATTGTTTTGAGATATCCTAAACCTTCTTATATAATAGGCAAGCATGAATAATGTACCTTAAATTTGGATTTGAATACTGCGTAAGTTTGGGGACACAAATATGTCTTTGTCCCCTGAACCTGATATGGTACACTTCATTCTTCTTGCATGCTTTAGCATTGTAATAAGTGTTTTTATATAGCTTTACATGCTCATGGGTGTGTTACATTTAACTATATAGTGTCCTATTTCTGTTTCCCTTCATTAAAGCTGGTATTCTTCCACCTGATGTAGGTGCAGGCAAAGGTAAAATAATTCATCTGCATGACTTTATACATGTGTGAAATTTGCAATGTTAAACATGGGGAAGTGCAGCATGGGTTAAAAGAGAAAATAAAATAAGCTTTGAAACAACAAAAGAAAGAGAAGATCTTGGCAGATCTTGGCTTTAACATTAATATTTAGTCTTTATACAAATAGAAAGCAACACATTACATTTTTCTAAGACTTCTCTTGAGACTTATCCCTGGTGAAAATCCTAATATTACCTTTTAATGATATGATTGTGGCTGGATCAGACAGGACCAAAACTGTGGATTTGTCACAGGTCCTCTCTATGGCCACGCCACATATTAAAGAAATACTAGTCATGTGATGAAAATAGACTGTGAGAAATCAGATCAACAGTTTTCCATTCTGATTTAGCTAGACCCCTCAAGACACAGTGTACACTTTGCTGCATTACACTACACTGTCCATTTGAAATTTTGGCTTAGCGGTCAATACCCTCTATTTATCCTGGGACTAGAAGTCTGCCCACCAGGATCCCCAAGGAGCAAGTCTTTCCGTCCGCCTGCATGCTCTACTCAGTTGTGTTACTCCATCCTGTCGTCACCAAACTGCTCAAGTCTCCTCCTCCTGGGTAATAAATAGTCAATCATCACAATGGATTACTTTTGTTCTTTATCTTGCACAGCACTCTGGGTGAGAAAGATTGGTTGGAGAATGGTGCTTGAATACGTTGTAGTATATCTTCCATGTGGGGCAGTCCCAAAGATCCCCAGTCTTTCACCCTTGGCTGTGGTTGGTCTGTTAGCCTTGGACATGTTTTCTTGGGGAGAACCTGGGGCCAGGGGTTTTCTTGGGCTTTGACAGACTGAATGAGTACAAATAGGAATGAAAAAAAAGACCGAGAGAAATCAGTGCTTTGTCCCAAATTATTCAAATCTTGTGAGCTTAGGTCTGATACACATCTTCTATTTTCTTAGAAATCTGCTTATAGTCAGAGTCTTGGTAAATTATAAAATGTAGATTAGATAGATTTTAGAGTGATTGAATAAGAACCGTAGCCATTTTTGCTAATCTTAATATATTACCTATGTTTTTAGACTTGGACAAAGTTGTAAAACTTCAAAATTTCCAAAATATTGTAAAAAGATGTAAACCTCTCTTTTATATGTATTCTTCTTTCCTGGGACAGTTAGATAGCAATTAAAATCCTCTGTAGTTTTACAATCATTTACTGCCAGGTCCCCTCATAACCTCCTTGAAGCAGTCCAGAGAAGACCTGGCCTCGCTCCCTGTGCAAAGGATGCCTGGGGTCAAGAGCAGAGTAATTGTGTTGCAACGGGGCTGCCTGTGAAGTGAATCTGAGTTTTCCATGGACTTGTCATGTTAGAATAGGACATGCAATCCACTGGGGAAAAATACATCACCTGCTTATTTTAATGAATTAAAACTAAGTAAAATAAATCTTTATTAAGATAGTTTAGGTTTTATCATTTAATGTTAATCAGTTGAATTGCGAATTGCTTATGATTATAGAGATAAGTAAAAATGGAGTGTCAGAAGGTTCTTGAAGTCCCCAGTGTTGAAATCTGATGGATCTCAGATAAGAAGAGAAATAGAATTTAAAATTTAAGAGAAAGCTAAATCTGTCCTCATTTTCTATATTGTTTCTTTTAATAGTGCACCAGTAATTAAACATTGCTTGCATAAAATGATGACATTTTACTGATAAGAATTTAAGCTGATCAAAAAGAAATTGTTGTCCTGGATTTCCCTCCCTTAAAAAATATTTCTTTATTTCAATCTCAGAATAAATTTTATCTTCTCTGTTTTTCTTCTCCAGGTGGGGTTTAGATACTCCCTGAGAGAGGAGAATGAAAGTGTCCCACAGTTCTCTGGAAATTTTAATACTTTTATATATCTTTTATATTTTAATTTAAAGCAGCATGAAAGAGAATAAAGAAGAGATAAATCATTGAGGAAAAACATGTGTGATAGACTCAGCTATAGCAGCACCAGCCTCTGATGATTTTAACTAACTTCTGGTGGAAGAGGGGAAAAGCGATGCATCTAAGTTTAATTTTTTAGTTTTCTGGAAGATTTTAAGCGATGTTAATGAAACCCAAGCTTACACATACATAATTACTTAAGCCACGAAGAAGCCAGGATAATTAATTTACCTGTATTATGCCTACTTTCCCTTTTCCTTACCACTCTCCTTGATCGTGAAAATACTCCTGAGATCTTCAGGAGTCACTTATTTTGATCCATGTCCTTCTTTTCAATATCTCTGTAAGAATTGTAGTTGTTTGGATGCGTTTGTTCAATTTCTGTGTCCTTTTAAATACAGGGTGTCCCCCCAAAAATGTACTAGTATACACACTAACAGCTGATGATAGCTCAATGGACATTTCTTTCTTTTCAGATTTAACCCATTGGAATTAATAATGGCAGCCAAAGTGTGTATACATTCTTGGGAGACACCTTGTAGTTTTGTGTCTGGTACTCTAGGAAATAGACCTGTGAAGGCATCTGTAAAAATGAACCGAAGCGCGCAGATAACGGATTTGAGTTAAGGTCTCAGTATTGCTGATGGATGGACACTGCCTTATTGATAGCTTTTACTTTCTCACCCTTGGGACCAGTCTTCAGAACATGGTTGCGAAGTGACAATTTAGGGCACAGGAATAGGAAGAAACTAATTAGCAAGTCAGAAACTGAACCTGGTTCTTGACCTAATTAGCAGCTGGCAATTAATTAAGAGGAGGACACTGAGGAGCTGGTGACATCCTCTCTGTGTTCAGACTCTCACTATATAATTATATCAGAGTTGGTCCCACTGCTACCAATTAGGTCAAGACACAGGAAAACCTAAGGAACCAGCAAATTAAAATCAAGTTTAAAGTTTACAGTTTTATTTCACCTGAACAACAACAAAAGACTATATAGAGGGTTCAATCAAGTTCAACGTTTAACGTCTTCCTGGCAGGTAAAGTGCAATAGCCTTTTATAAGACACTGGATATCTAGATGGTAAAACACAGCCAGTTAAGACCAACATACGAAGAAGAGTAAACATAGATGCTAAACTAGTTATTTGAATAAAATTGTATATGAACATAGAGGAGTGAACCATTTATTTTGCCAAACAAGATCAGGAAAAACTTCACAAAGAAAGTGATAACCAATTTGGCCTTGAGACAAATACAGAATTTTGGCAGATGAGTCGAGGCGGGGTGTATTAATTATTGGTAAGGTAATAAGCAAAGGCATGGGTTTGAAAGCCTACAGGACCTTTGGGATACACCCAAAAGTCCAGTTTGGCCCAAATGTAGAGTGCCTGGGAAAGAACCTGAGGTGTGACTGAAGAGGTTGGTGAGGACACATGATTGACGGCCATGCTTGCCTGGCTAAGGAATTTGTGTTTACCTAGCAATAGAGGTCAGGCATCTCCACATTCTAAACAGAAATGTCAGGATTGGACTTGTAGTTTAGAAGCTAAAATGTACAAAGACACAGTAGGAAGAGAGACTAGAGTGGACTCCTGAGAAAGCCCAGCTGAGAGAGGACACTAGCACGTCCCAGGAGACAATGTCCGACACATCAGAGGTGCTCAGTGAGTGAGTGTTCAGTAAGAAGGTGGATGAGTGAGGAGTCAAAGCCAGGAGAGTTAGAATTCTCTGACAAAAGTGGCCAAACAGACAACCTCAGAAAATCGCAATATCTTCTCTGGGTGTCTTTAAGAATAAGTGAAATGTTCTTCTGTTAGAAATAGTTCACTATGGTTCTGCCTTCAACATTTTCCATAATTACAGCAGATTAAGTTCCTCAGTTCCATGATCCCAAAATTTTTTAAAGAAAATTAATGTTTTGCCTGGGTTCTTTGCCACTGATGTTTTACACACATGTTCATATTTACAGTCTCTGTTTATTGATCATATTCCTATCGTTATCTATTTCTTCAGGTGCAAAATCAATTAGGTCCACATAATTCAATAATCAGTTTTCTCTCTCTGCTGTTTCCCACCCTTAGCATGAAGGGGCACACAATATACGTGTGATGGTGAACTGTATCTCAGAGGTCAAGTGCATCATTTAATTTCTTAATATACTTCTCTTTTCGATCCTAAGAAGTGCAATTTCATCATATTTTAGATAAGAGGTCTTTAGCTTCTAAATTACATAACGTAATTTGGAATTTAATTTTAGAGTCTGAGAAACCCTTCTGATTTCCTATCCTAGGATGTTTTCTCTGGGATAATAAACTGGTCTTAATCAGTTTTAACTATCCAAGTTAATATATTTGTAAATATGTTAAGTTTAGGCACTTGCAGTAAAGCTGATATAATTGTCAGCTTCAGATGCCCAAATAACATCTATTAATAACTATAGGTGCCATCTTTACTCGTAGCAAGTAACCTCCGTAATTTGGTGTTTTAAGATGCTACGTAGGTTGCAGCATGATCTTTCAGAACAGAATATGTAATGAGCACTTAGACGGTAAGATTGTCTTGCTCTCTGGGATGTGTCAAGTGAAATAGTTCTTTTATTTCTACTTTCTTAACTTTAGATAAAAGCACATTTGGTGATTCTTTCTGCAGCTTTTCTTCCAGTGTACCTACCCCTCCAGCTTCCTCCAAGCAGGTGTTCCTCACCTGGGTCCCTGAACTTAAAGAAGTTTCTGACTCAAATGAGGTCAAAAGCTACTATTGTGAGGAGCATCCTTTCTCACCCCAACACAAATTCTTTAAAGACCCACACTGACATGATAAACAGAATTGGAAGTATTTGTAGTCTGTGACCTCTGACCCCAGCATCTTTCAGCAATCCCACATCCCGTCATATATCAGTAAACGAAGGCTTTGGTGTTTCCTGGGACTGTATCTAATGGACAACAGTTCACATTATGCAGGACCCATATAATAGAACTCATAGATTTTTAACATTGTGCATCAATCACTATTTCTAATTATTGACTTATTTCCTAAGGCTGTAGTTTAAAAAAATGAAAAACCTGTCTGTAATAAAAGTGAAGTATGCGTGAACCCTAAATGTCAGCAGTAAATTCTAATTCAGTTTTATTTGCACAGTTTCAGAGTACTTAGAATTATTTATATTTGTGTGTATGGTGTTGCAATTTGATTGTCTGTCTGTTTTATTTTTCTATTGTATATTTATTTCAAGCAGTAAATCCCAGGATCAGCAAACTTACTGTCGCAGCTGCTGAGACCTATGCCAATATCAGTTGGGAATATGAGGGACCAGAGCATGTCAACTTTTATGTTGAATATGGTGTAGCCGGCAGTAAGAAACAACTTCATTACCCGGTTTTTAATTTGGGGGATACATTTAAAGAGATTAAGAACATTTTAAAGGATTTACTGTGGATCATCTTGAAAAATAACTTGATCCAAGTAAATGAGTCAGATTTATCTAAAAAACATTGTAGTGAACCATTAACCTATGTATGTTACTCATAACCAAAAATCTGTCTTGTTCCTGTTATTTAAAACGAGGAAAGTAAGTTCCATTGCATATGTTATTTTCATATCATGGTACTTAAAACTGTTCTATACCCACAACATGTAAACAAGGGTAATAATGAATTACTATATTTGTAAGTACAATAGAAAAGAGGAAAAGTTTGTTCAAAATGGACCTTGAAATAGCAGAAATCAAGCAGACTTTAGTCATTTTGCATATACTACGCAACAGAATTTTATCAGAGACTGAAGAAAATTACCACTTGTATTTCAATGTTAATATATTCCTGAATCAGGCTCCCTACTTACATCCTGGCCACTTATACCAGGAGATGGGGCAGGTCTAAAGTTCAGCAGTTTATGAAAACCCCTTGTCCCCTCCTAACGCAGTGTGCTCCGCACATAATAAGCTGGGTGGCCACGGAATGTTTGTATGAAATGTTGAACACAGTCCAACTCTCTGTTTAGGTCTTAATCAGGCAAATAAATATTTAGTCCTTTAGGAAAATTAATGTGTGGGAAAAGTTGAATTTATAACTTGGATAAATTTGAAGGCATTTATGTTTACTAAAAGATTCATCTTGTTAATCTTAAAAGCAAGTCTTCCCAATGTTCATTTAAACTATGTAATATGTAACAGTTCTTTGTATACACATTAGTAGAAAAAGTCAGTAGTGTTTTAAGACAAGGTGTAGGCGAAGAAGCCTCCTTTGTATTAAAAAGAAGATTTAAAACAATGGGCACCTATGCAATCTTGCAACCTGAACATCAATGTTCATGTAGTTCTTCATTTTAATTGATTTATTTGACTCGACCTAAAATGATATACATAAACATCCTACATTTTGTCTTTCACTTATAAAGAATTTTCCTTTCTTGAAGCATTTAAGTGACTTCTGGTCCCTTAAAATATTATAATTTGTTGTTTTTGCAAAATTTCCATAGGCAAAGAAGAATGGAGGAAAGAAATTGTAAATGGTTCTCGGAGCTTCTTTGGGTTAAAGGGTCTAATGCCAGGAACAGCATACAAAGTTCGAGTTGGTGCTGAGGGGGACTCTGGTTTTGTGAGTTCAGAGGATGTGTTTGAGACAGGCCCAGGTGAGGTGCACACTACGCCGGTTCTGCTCATGCTCAGAGGTGCAGCCACCGGCACTCCCGCCGGAGATGGGGGCAAGTGGTGCTGCTCTGGACAGGACTGTGAATGTCTTTCTGTGGGGTCCTGTTGGGGTGGGAGTTGGGCTTTTAATTGTCTTTGGCTCTTTATATGAAATCAATTACAGAATTGAGCAAATCATCTTTTAATGACATTATTGCCAAAACCATTACAAAAACAGAGCTAAATATGATTCTTAACTTTCATTATTTAGGTAACTCAATCTTTCACATCATTTACATAAATAAACTGTCCCGCGGAGTTAGAATGGAATTTTTGAAATGCTTTTGAAGCTGAAAAACTCATTGATAAAGTCACATTTTTCCATGTCAAAATGGACCGTAGCCCTGCAGAACCTTGCAGTTTGGTTAGACAACTGATGCAAATATTGTTAAATTTCTATAGAACAAGAAATTGTTCAATTTATGTATTTCATTATAGTTATATATTTGACTGTATATATTTTAGTTATTTGAACATTATCAAAACACATAAGTAATAATTAAAGTCTCTAAAATAAAGAAAAATGTTCATATAAGAGTCAAAAATATTTATATTTGTTCACAAGATGGGAAACAATCCCTGCTTACTTAAATTTAAAGAAGGGCTGTGTGGTATGTGTTCATTTTGTGATTCATACATGTTATGTTCAGTCATTTCATGCATTCTTAAGGAAATGTTGCATTTCCTATAGAATCTATAGGCAACATGCATTTTTGTGTCTTTAATTACCCAAGCATTATGATTTTAAAGTCACTTCTTATAATTTAGAAAGTATACAATCAAGAGTGAATTCTTAAAAAAAGAGAGAGAGAGATAGAGAGAGAGAGAGAGAGAGAGAGAAACCAAAGGTGATAATAATTTACTAAACTACATTTTTAAGTATTTATGTGCTAGATTCATAATATATAAAGACAAAAAATTTTCTGTTATTCTGTTCTTTGTATTTTCATATCCATTTGTGTACAAAGTTCTAGGAAAATACTGTATTATACTTAAATGATAAATATCAATTGACAGTATTACAAGATGTTTGTTATTATTGGTAACTTTTAATTTCAAAATACTAAAAGCTCAAGTAGATATTCTGTCCATTTACAGCTAGAATACTAGCAGTAACAATAGCATTAGCATTTAATCAGCTTTAGTCTATTTCAGGTGAATGGTTTTCATGGCTTTTCTCATTCAGTCCTTACAACAATCCTATGAAGTGGGCAGAGTTATTACCCACTTATACAGTATGCCAGTGACATGTAATGAGAGATGGAATGCCTACCTGTCACCCAGTTAGAATGTGGGGGAGCTGGGGTTAGAGTCGTAGCCTTCCAACGCTGGAGTAGAGACTCTCACTACCCCACAAATAGGGTCCCACGGGTCCACACTCGAGGAGAACAAGTGGTCTCAGAAATGATCGCTTAGTCTTCCCAGCTCTTATGGACCCAGGGTCCAGTGAACTCTCAGCTTGCAGATCCAGCTAGAATGAGATTCCACCCGTAAAATCAAGGTGTGGCCTTTTATGTCCTTTTATAGGACAGATGGCAAACCCTTTAGAAAAAAAAAATGTCTTCAGTGTTGCTATATCTACAGTTCCAGCTGCAGCCGACAGGTGGCTCAATTGAGCCTCACAATGAGTGGACCATTCTTGTGTGCCAGCGATGGAGAAATAGGACAAGGCTACAACCAGTTATTGTCACCTTTTACATATAAATGTAACTATTAAAAAGTAAATATTGATTAAACCCTAGTGACCTTAGTTAGTATATTACCTCCTGGAGCAAATATGTATTGTAAATCCAACTCCCTATTCTCCCAGTTTCACTGCTCTGTCCTGTAGGGCCACTGGGTTAACTCCAGTGTGAAAACATTTTCTTCTACGGCTCTTGCTTCTCCTCCCCTCCATGCTACGTTCTGAGATTGAATGTCAGTGCTGGGCATGGAAGCATACCGTTCTGGCTAATTTTTTAACTTTGCATTAATGAGCTACTTCCTGAGCTCTTCTAATTTCAGGAACTAGACTCAACTTTCATCTACACTTGTTTCATGAATCTGGTTAATCTGACACCACCCCTGCCTTTGATAGTCTGGGTATTTAAGATGTATTTCTCCGTTTTTTCCAGTGGCACCAAAGTTGAACACCAAATCAAACAGGACTATCAGCAGGGTCCTGGTGCTGTACCTCTTACCCACCCTCCTGTTAGGCCCCCACCTCCTCTTCCTGCTTTCTCATCTCTTTCCCTCAATTACCCTATCTCTTCCTCTCAAATCACAAAGGATGTAAAGCAGATTGTTTTTTCTGAGGCCTGTCAGCTGCCTCCAAACTTTAGCCAAGGTAATTTCCCCCCTTTCTATACATTTCTAACTATTTTCATGGAACAGGGCATTTTTATATATAATGGATTTTTTAATTTTTTATTGATTTCAGAGAGGAAGAGAAAGGGGGAGAGAGATAGAAACATCAATGATGAGAGAGAATCGTTGATCGGCTGCCTCCTGCAAGTCGCCCACTGGGGATCCATCCCACAGCCCGGGCTGACCAGGAATCAAAATGCAACCTCCTGGTTTATAGGTTGACGCTCAAACACTGAGCCATGCTGGCTGTGCTATAATGGATTCTTTATAGACATTTATCCCACTGTGTCTTCCATGCTCATTTTATTAGTCTAAGTAGAACATTTTCCTCAGAGATCTACTAGCACAGACCACAGATTATCCACAAGACACCAAGCAATGCCATAGCAGAAGACTGTTGTTAAAAATAACTTCTAGGAAACAAAGTGAATTTCATTTTGGCTTATTTTCTTTTTTCACATTCTTGATATTTGTCTTTTGTTTAATTTAATGGCTTTCTGGATCACCCAAGTAATACATAACATAATTTTTATAAAGGTTTTAGATAAATTGAAAATCCTCTTTCTCTCTTCAACCCAGTCTTACTAATAACCCACCCATTGAAAATCAGATTCAATAAGAAAAATCCCCATGGCTTTCATTCTGTGTGTGTGTGTGTGTGTGTGTGTGTGTGTGTGTGTGAGATGCATAACTTGGGTTTGTAAAATCATCTGTAGTTAAGATGATTTTAGAGTGTCCTGGGAAGACTTGAAGCCTTTTTAGTCATTGTGGACTTTAGATCCATTCTTATATGGATAGGAAGCCAATAAAAGTTATTTTAACTTAAATAGTTTTGTTTCATATCAATTTCCAGTGCACTTGTGTGTGCATGTATGTATGTGAGTATGAGCACACATATGCACCTGTTAACATTCTGTGTCTGCCTAATTTTAAATAATGAATGGGGTAGTGAAATATTTGGCACTTTTTTCTTTAGATATAGAGGAGGCAATAATTTAAGGTGAATTTGGATGTTCCTTTATGAACTGTCAATGAAACATTTCCACTTTTTGCATAGTAGCAAGCTGCCAGTTCAATTTGACAGTCACCATCTTTATAAGACAATGTTTGTGCTAGTTTTTTAGAATCTTATTGCATTTTGCCTTTATCAGTTGCATTTAATTAGTGGAAAATGTAAATACAGATACTATTTATGACAAAGCTGTAAATCATTAAGTATACTAAAAACTCTTTAACTGCAATCAAATGTTCAATAGATTTACACCGGTTGGTTTGGGGTTCAGTTTTGAAGAAAAAGCACACAAAGACCACCTGAGAATTGACAGAAATACACTGCCAAAGAGTATGTAGTGATGGACTTCTAAACTATTTTTACCTTTCTCAGAATACAAAGTCCCTACAACATTTTATTCTTGTAAAGACTTCTGCAGATTTGATGTCTGGGCATGTTTTCAGGACGGCATTACAACGGTAGAGCATAATGGCTACTGCCATGTACCCTGGAGTCAGACATCAGACAGGCTTGGGTCAAACTCCAGCTCTTGAGCAAGTTCTTTACCCTCTCTGGGCATGGATCTATTTCCCATGCTTGTGAAGATTAAATGAGATTTTTTTTCCCTCCCAGCACAGTGCCTTGCAGATAGTAAGAGTTTCATAATGTAAGCTCTCATTATGACCATGTTCATCATCATCACCATCATTATTGTTGTACCTGTGTGGAAGGGGAGCACTGTCTATACTGGTGCTTACCTTGTATCAAGTTATGATACAACTCAAATCCCCTCTAACCCATGAGGCACAAGGGGAAAGGCTACTGGCATTTGATTTGTAGCCTTTATTAAATACATTATATTCCAGATCATGTATTTCCACTTCTCGTTTGATTTCTTAAACACACATCCACATATTTTTCGCATTCCTCTTCACACTTGATTTTAAGCATTTCATTTTTCTCCCTGCATTTTGTGTGGAGAGAAAAAGGCAATGAGGTGCCACTTTTGTACAGATATCAGAACCTAGGATACATGTAGCCATGCTTATTTCTGCATCCAGAGATCACATTCACCTAAGCCAATATTGTTAAATGTATTCAAAAGGAATTCAATCAAATTAAAAGCATGACAGAGGCGTGCTTATGAATCTAAAGAAGAAACCCTTTTATCTTTATTATGGTCAAAAGAGAAAAAGGCCTTTAAAAAAGTTTTATACCAATTTATTTAAACAAATCCTCATGGGCATGTCTGAATAGCCATTGATGCTGCACTTTGTCCCATTTGATTGACACTCTTGAATAATACTAGAAATGCTAATTATTCCATGTTTTTCTTAGGAGATTTGGTTGGAAAAGAGGCTTCACATTTATTGACTCAAACAGAATAGATGGAGACTTAAAGAACATGTATACATGTGAATGAGTATTTTCTGTCTAAACTGGTCACTATTCCAGTAATGATGCCTCTGATCAAGATATACTCCAAAGTCTTTTAATATATTTGTATTGATTTCATAGAAGAAGAAAGAGGGAGAGAAAGATAGAAACATCAATGATGAGAGAGAATCATTGATTGGCTGCCTCCTCCACGTCCCTCACTGGGGATCGAGCCTGCAACCCAGGAATGTGCCCTGACCGGGAATCAAACCGTGACCTCCTGGTTCATAGATTGGCGCCCAACCACTGAGCCATGCCGGTTGGGCTCCAAGGTCTTTTAAATGGATCCTAAGCAATATTGATCTTTTGAGGGTAAATTGGATATTTCAGAAATTTGCAAAAGTTATTCAGAACCATCTCTTGTAAATAAGATGAATAACAAATCTAAGTAACGTTTTGAGTGAAAATTGAGATATAAAATCATAAGTCTGGTTCCAGTCTTATATGGCCAGTTTTCTTATGTGCAAAGTTTTCTTTTTTAACAGATTTCCAAAACATTTTGAAAAATGGCAGCATCATTGCAATATTTTAGCCTCCAAAGTGCTGCCTTTGAAGGAAAAAATACTCCATTAGATGTATACATTCTGTTCTGCTTAAAATTCAGTCTTATATTCTTACCATGGTACTTAATGAACAATTTATCTTATAAACAGTAAATTTGTTCATTTGTTTCTCGTACTTGCAATAACTGTGAACATAATGTTCAGCAGGGTTTGTTGGCGTTTAATGGTATTATCATTCAGATTTCTCTATTTGAATTGTTTTAATTAAGATTTTTCAAAGTGAAGTATTTATACCTGGTTGATAACTGACAGATTCCAATTTGGGGCCACATGTAAAACATATACAAGTTTATATACTATAGCAATTTATTATACAAGAGACTCCAACATCTCTCTCTTAACCCATCCCCACTGATGCCATCCACTTGCTTTCCAGCAATGGCAAGCCGACAGGTGGACATTGCGACTCAAGGCTGGTTCATTGGTCTCATGTGTGCTGTCGCTCTCCTGATCTTAATTTTGTTGATCGTTTGCTTCATCAGAAGAAACAAGGGTGGTAAATATCCAGGTAAGAAATAAAGATTAAAATTTCCTTATAATGCTGCCTAATTATCCACTGAACTAAAAAGAAATCATGAGGGTAAATCATGTAGCTTGCAAAAAGTATATCTTTACAAAGCCATAAACTTGGACTTCCTGTTCAAACAATTTTTTATCTAATGGGAGCCTACACATTGTTGAGGGTCAGAAGACATCTGGTGGGAGTACATTAATCTGTTCTTTGAAGATATTAGTGACTCTGCTTCCTTAGGCTCCACATAAGTCATAGGGGCCAAAATAGCACCTACAACCAACAGGCAGAGGGTGAAGGTACCAGAAGTCTCCCCAGGAAATAATGCATGAACGGAGCCCTTATGTCATGATGTTGAACATTGCTTTCCTTATAGGGTTAATGTTATATAACCCATATGGTTGTGTAGAAGTGTTTTCTTTTCACTGCTGTGTATCTCAAAGAGTGCACTGGTAAAACCTTTGAATAAGGAAACACAAGGTCTATAGATAAGAATGTCATTTTGAAATTTTCAGTTAAAGAAAAGGAAGATGCCCACCCTGATCCCGAAATCCAGCCCATGAAGGAAGACGATGGCACTTTTGGGGAATACAGGTGAGCCTCTTCTCCCCAGCCCGCACCTTCCCGGCGCTGCGGACACCGCACTGGTCCCCGGGGATTGGGTCGCGCCAGGAACAGCTCTCCCTGCTGTTTCATATTTTCTTCAAATATTTGTTCATCAACACTTCCATGTCTAAATGTTTACACATCCCTCACAGTTAAAATAGTCACTCACTTTCATTAAAGAACAAATTTCCAGTGTAGTCACAGGTTTAAGGTGGAGTGTCGTCCACTCTGTAGTATTATCCAGAGGCCTTTGCTGTATTGATCAGCCTAGCACAGTGGTTGTGTTACAAGAAGAGTTAAAACAACAATAAAGGCCCCACAAACCCGCCTTGTAAAGAAAACTATACCTGTTATCTTCTAAATGGTGCTCTTAAAAATCAGTGTTAGTCTTTAATCTTGGATTAGACTTTTTTTTTCCAAAACAAAAACCTATAATTCTGCCCCTTAATCATGAAATGATGACTAGTTTGTTTTAGAGGCTGTTCTTGTTAGTTTTAGATAGCAGTGTTATGCTAGATTCATAAAATGATGAAAGGAGTGATTCCTCTGACATGTCAAACTTTATCATGTCCAAACATCCAGTAAGGGTAGTTCTATCCTTCCTGTTTCTCAAACCAAAAATCTTGGCATTGTTTTTCTTCTCTATTATTCCATATCTAATTCATCAGAAAACCCTGTCTGTGCTACATTGAAAATATGTCCATAATCTCACTCCTGGGTGATTGCCATGGGCCCCCTGACTTCCTAGAGCAGGGGCAGCAAACTTTTCCTGGAAAGGGCCTGATAGCAAATACCTGACTTTACAGGGCGCACAGTCCCTGCTGCAGCTCTACGCTTCTGCTGTTGCAGGGCAGAAGCTGTCACAGGTAATGGGTAATCAATGGGCATGGCCAAACTTTGCTGTTTGCCAACCACTTCTCTCCAGGGGAGGCTGTTCTCAACACTGATGACTGTAATCCTTTTAAAATGTAAGATCGTGTCACTAGTCCATTGGAAACCCTCCAGTAGCTTCCCATCTCACCAGTTAAAGACAGAATCCTTACAATGTCCTACAAGGAAGGCCCTGATCCAGTCAGCTCTCCAGCCCTATCTCCTCCCTTTTACTTTCACTCATTCCCCCATCCTCCATTTCTCTCTCTCTCTCTCTCTCTCTCTCTCTCTCTCTCTCTCTCTCTCATTCAGCTCCAGCCACACAAGCTCTTCTCTGTTCCTAGAACATTCTAGGCTTGCCTCCATCTCCAGGCATTTGTACTGCTTGTTACTTCTGCTGGAGTCTCTCTGCCTCCAGCTATCCACCTGGATAAGTCAACTCTTTTAAGTCTTTGATCAGATGTCACTTCTTAATGAGGCCTTCCCTGGACATCCTAATCCTATTTACATGTCAACCTTTCACACCCTCCCCTGGCACCTCCCATCCTCCCTGCTCAGCTCTCTGTTTTCCATGGCACTAATTACCTTCTGATATACTATACAACTACTCTTTTAAATATGTTGATTGTTTATGTCTATGTTTTCCCTACTAGAAGTAGCTCCGTGAGGTCAGGGTTTCAGTCTATTTTGTTTGCATCCCCATGGACTAGAACGCTATCTGTCCTACAATAGGCACTCAATAAACATTTATTAGCTAATGAATGGTGGCATGGATGGATCAAAGAAATGCCATAGACTAGAATTTCCTGTATATTTCTTGGAACACTAGTTCCACTGAGCAGAATAAGATGAAGAGTTATATAATCCAGGTGACAGAATTCTGCTCATTATTGAACTCTTCAGGGAAATTAAGTGTCTCATCAAGTCATGAGCAATACTTCACAGGAAATATTCAAGCAAAGCCTATAAGTTAATGACCAAAGATGTGCACGTTATTCTTGCAGCAGGTTGGAGAATGGATGATATGACCACTGAAGTGCCCCAAACACCGGCCACCCCAAGGTTCTGTGATACTTCCCCAGTTATTAGTCGTGGTGATAATATGGTTTATTCAGTTTATGACAAAAACTTGTGTTTTATTTGAAACAGGTAGTTTTCAATAGCTCATGTGAACATCTTATTAAGCTACTACTTTTTCCAATCTTAAGGTTTTATTCTTGGAGAAAAATTGAAAACACTAGTAGGAACTATTGGCAAAAGAGCCAGAATATTTGTGCATCTTAAAATATTTGTATCTCGGCTGGAAGTGAAAGTCACTCTCAAAAACAAATGGAGCAATAAAGTCCTTGTACAAATTGGTGGGTGAAATACATCTAAGGCAACCTCTCTTTTTACATTAAGCCTTTTTATTTTTTACTAATTTTGTTTATGTTTTTTTTTATTTTGCCTGTATTTTTGTTCTTTGAAAGAAAGAAAAATGTTGTTGTTGCCTTTCTTTCTTTCTTTTTTTTTTAAAGCCAAATGTTACCAGTTAAAGAATAGGTCAGTGTGCATATGTAGTTACATGACCAGATGAGTGGATGTTCTAAACATAATGATTACTCTTCCCCTTCCAGAGGTTCAACAAAGAAATAAAGGGTAAATTGGTCTTATAAAGATTTATTAAATTACCCTCCCTAGATTCCCATCTGACATGGATAGGCTGCGTGCCACACTTGGGAGAGGAAGAGAGGGGTAAAGAGGATACAAGAAATGCTTGCTTTTGCATTTTTTGAATCACTCACGCTCTAGAATATATTGACATGCCATTAGTAGCACACACATAGTTAAATTGCGTCTCTTTCAAAAATAATAAATCTTTACCCATTAACTAAAATTCTTACAGAAAGAAATACTATATACTATCAGTATAAGAATTTTGCTTTTCTTCTTAGGCTATTTTCATTTGTTTCTTCTGCATCCTTTTAATGGAATTTGTAGGTCTCTTGAAAGGTAAGGTTAAAGTTTACAAGTCTGGCCTGCACTCAATAACAAAATTATTTGAAATGCAGGATTTTGCTGTTGCTTCTTGCTCAGAAAAAAAAAATCCGTATTTCACACTTAACCAAAATCATTCTCCATTCATATCCAAGGAATCAAAGATACCACACTGTTTAACATACTAACTGCTCTACTTGCCATAATCTTTACCCCCTTTGGAATTCAAAATAGTGATGATTTTTATCTTTCTTCCGTTCTTCCTTTTTTAATGCCTGTGATTATTTCTGCACTGTTTCTAAATCAGGAGCCTGAATCTGACACTGATAGACATGCACAATAAGAAGCCATCCACCTACTGAAGATTTCATGGTTAAGCCATTTCTGTGCCTGGTTTTCATTCCAGCCACACCCCAGTCATTGGAGTCAACCTGATGATGAGGTTTGGCTGGAGAAGCTTGGGACCCCATCTGCTTTATCATAATCGGCATGCATGACCTTTCAGAACAAAGCATCTTATCAAAACACCAGTCTTGACGAAAATTTCTTTTTCTTCCAGTGATGCAGAGGACCACAAGCCTTTGAAAAAAGGCAGCCGAACACCGTCAGACAGGACCGTGAAGAAAGAAGACAGTGATGATAGCCTTGTTGACTATGGAGAGGGAGTGAATGGCCAGTTCAATGAGGATGGCTCCTTCATTGGACAATACAGTGGTAAGAAAGAGAAAGAGCCAGCTGAAGGAAACGAAAGCTCAGAGGCACCTTCTCCGGTCAACGCCATGAATTCCTTTGTTTAATTTGTAAGCTCTTTGCCAATATCCCGTTCCTCTTAGACGGTTTATCTTAAGCACTTGTCAGGCAGCCTTCTCATACTGTGAACATAGAGGCAGAAAGTACACATTCTACTGTATGTTAGCACTATGAGAACAGTTAGAGCAAGAACATAACTCAGTCAAATGATATGTGAATGTGAACTGCAGTGCAAAGGGCATACTTTTTCATTCACAATAGGCATTCTCGATTTTCTCAGAACTGAGAAAAATAATACACAGATCATGTTATTCCCTCTTCAGGATACAGTTCAATATGATGCATGAAAAATGCTGCACAGTTAAAGGACAGACCTGCGTGTGCTATGAAAACATGGTTTGATACTTTGTTTATACTGTTATCAGCTGAACCCCCTAAATATGAATTCCGTTTTCATTGTCAAGAGTGTTACTGTAGTGTTCTCTAGAACTTCAATGTCTTTGTGGACATTGCTGTGAAATTGGTGACTCTGTGTCTAGCTGTTAGTCTTTTTGGGAGACTGTTAGGAACAGGATGTACAGTATATACTTGCTAAATGAGTTAATCACGACCGTCGCATTTGCTGATGCTTACTGAGACTCTGTTACCTGCTCTTTGCTCTTGTTACCTCGTAGCCTTCTTAATCTTCCAGGTATTACAGCAGTACAGTGTTCTACTTTTTACATCATCTCTATGTTCAGTTGTTTTTAGGCATAAACAAGGTGTATTGCAATGCATTTTGGCATTAGTGCCAGACAAAAAGAATCACAGACGAATCACTCCCATTCAATTTCAAAACGTATTCCAGAAAGCACAGGGCAAGACACATGCAGTGCCTTCAGACAAGCATTCCATAACACATGGCCTTCTGCATCGAAGGTACAGTTGACTCAGAGTCCTAGATTACTGTCATGGTCTAAAAGTAACTTTTAAACAGCAGAGATCATGAAAACTTGCAATGCTGGGAAAAAAAAGGAAATGTGAAAAATAAAATTAGTAAGACAACTTATTTTAAGGAGAATTTCCCCATCACATAAAAAGAGAAACATTATCACCAACTGGATACATGATGATTTTGGGGGGAGAAGGGGTCTTTTATAGTTTCTACTAAAACAAGTCCCATTCAGTAAGACAGATGTCAACTTGGTGTAAATTTTTAAAAACCACAAGTTATTCCAAAACTAAAAGCATACAACAGCATGCCACCAGGAATATATTCTTCTTTAAGTCTCTACCTATGTGGCAACTTTTGAAACTCTCTGCATTAAAAGACCTGTATGCAAACTGCTGTGGACACATTTCAGAATCTACAAAACCGGGTAAGTGCTAACAAGGCCCAGAGTCAAGCGGATTACTATCTGCAGCTTCAAAACACCCATATATATGCTACCATATTTATAAACAATATCCATCAAATGGTTTGCCTCCACATAGGAAATTCTATAACAACCTATGGTTGAAGGAATGCTCAGTTTCATTTGCCAATAAATTGGTTTCTCATAACTTGCATCAAGTTTAATTTTAAGTAAAGCTTTTTATATGTAGATATTTTGTTGAATTTGTACATACACTTAAAATGTAGATGCTATATGCTTATGGGTGTCACATACAAATAAACATGCAAACAGTGTTTATGTGGTACTGTATAAGAAGTTAGCTAATTAATACAGTGCATGGGATCGGAAAGCATTTCAATACCTTTGGGTTTTTAGTTTCCTCTTTTGCTGTGAAACTGAACTAGTGAACTATCCTACACATGGACAGTAAGTTTCTAGATGAACTCCTCCGAGCTTTGCCTGTGGGGATCAGTAACCTAGTCATGTGGCATCTTTGATACATGTGGGTAAAGCACAGTTTGAAGCAATCCCAGGTAAAGGTGGCCCTAAATGCTTGTGTGTCTCCTCCTCTGCTTTTCACAGACCAGCTTTTCTAATGGAACCAGGCTTGCCTTGGTATCAGAGAGCACAAAGATAAACGTTACTTTAAATTTGCCAGTGTTTGGGGGGAAACAATAAGAGTACAGGTTTTACTCTTCCCTAACGGTAGATGCTAAATTTATCTGTGCATGAAGGGGTCACTTCTGTAATAGTGCAACAGATTTTGTATTAAAAGTTAAATGTGGTTTTAAAAGTCCCTCTCTTTTGTAATATATCATGTTCCTAGTGGAGTGTGAGTGTCCGATGGTATATGTAACGGTACAGGCAGGTACGACTGGTTTTCCATCAAAAAGTAACTATTAAACAGTTTTGATCTCTTCGTGATTTTTAACTTTTTCAAACATATATTTCCTAATGTTTTAAAAATAAGGAAAATTTTTATTTTTACTTTTTAAAGCACACTATATGCAGAGAAAATCAAACACAAAACTGGACACATTGTAACACAGAGGTAATAACATAGGGCTTATCAAAAAATGTCGATGAAAAGCGGGAGTAACTATTACCAGCCTTTGAGACCCAGTCTGAGAAACCAGGGGCTGCTTCCTTTCCTGGAGCCTGCCCCCCACAGGCCTGGTTCCAGGCCTCGCCCGCCTGGCTCCCGCTGGCCGAGATCGCCACTCTCCAGCCACAGACACCTGCAATGCCTCACCCTTTCCTTCTCGGTGAGACAGCTTAGGTATTTACAGATGTTACGGGTATGTCATCCACTTGCTTCTCCTCGGCCCTGTTCCTTCCATCATCTCAAACCTGTCTAGCTCTGTGAACTGCCAACCTCCCGTTTGTCCCGCTGTTCCACCACCTGCCCTTATTCACCTGTGCCCTGGTCCCAGCTTTCCACCCACAAGACTCAAACTACATTCTAAGGCAGTGATGGCGAACCTATGACACGTGTGTCAGGGGTGAGAGGTGACACGCGAACTCATTTTTTTGGTTGATTTTCTTTGTTAAATGGCATTTAAATATATAAAATAAATATCAAAAATATAAGTCTTTGTTTTACTATGGTTGCAAATATCAAAAAATTTCTATATGTGACACGGCACCAGAGTTAAGTTAGGGTTTTTCAAAATGCTGGCACGCCGAGCTCAAAAGGTTCGCCATCACTGCATTAGCAATTTACTATAATGGAAGTTATGTGCATGGCTTTGGGACCATTATGAAGTAAAATAATAACTAGAATACAAACACTGTGATACCAGACCACCGATCTGATAACCACGACACTATTAAGTGACAAATGGGCGGGAGCATCTACAGCGTAGAGACGAGGGACAGAGGGATGATTCACATCTCATGCTGGACAGAGCAGGGTGACGCCTGGTGGTTTGCCGTTTCAAACTCATGACTTGTTTATTTCTGGAATTCTCCAATTAATAGTTTGGGACAACCATTGACTGTGGGTAACTGAAACAGTCAAAGGCAAAATTGCGGATAAGGGGGACTGCTGAATGTCCGTCGTCGGTAAAATGCTCTACAAACCTTAGGATTTCTGGCACGGAGAGCATTCCCTTCAGAACAGAAGGTTGGGCCCTGCACTTCACACTGTGGGCCCCACTCACAGTCCCCGTCCTGAGGACGCTCATCAGGCACAGCTCTGCTCAGCAGCAGGGGCTGGCAACCCGGAAGCCTGACCACAGAAAGCGTTGGTCCATTGACACCTTCTGGTTCAGATGGTCTGTAATGGGCCTGGCTTACTGTTAGTGGCGGGTTTTGGAAATGGCTTGTGGAGGCAAGAGGCATACAAAAAACTGAATTCTCACCCAAACTCAGCAAATCCCTCCCTCTCACAGATATTTCTACACGTGACCACCAGGGGGCTCCCGTGCTTCACTCAGTGCAAAAGAAACTGGGACAGTGGAGGCTCTGGAGAACTGTGCAAACTGCCTTTGATCATCAGACGGTGGTCTGACAGCAGAAAGTGATTGCCTGCTGCCACCAGGGGAAATGCATTTGTCACTTCCTCTGACGGGTTCACAGCTTCCAGGGAGTAGCCGCTGTTAATCCTCGTGCTGATGGTGGCCAGGTGGCTGGGCTGGTCAGCAGGAGAAGGAAGAGGAGTGTGCCTCCTGCCTCTCACTAGGCACTCCTTACTGCTGCAAGTGGTGGTGGGGGGGGGGGAGAGGAGCGTGTCCTTCATATGTCCCCCCTTTCTCTAGAGCATGCCATTTTGACTGCCACCAGTGCTTTGATATTGTGTGATTGATTGGCCAGCACAAAAAACACAGTTTGCACACACACCGCTTTTATTTCTACACTTTTTTTTAAAGCAGGAGAGGGTGAGAATACTACCAGAGTATTTACATTGAGAAAACAAACAAATAGTTCCCAGGTCGAGATAGAAAGAGACCAGAACATACATTCCAACTCTGCCATCAGCTAACTGTGTAACCATGTGTAAATGAAACCCCCCTTATCTCCCATCTCTAAGCCTCCATTTCTTCAGAAAACAGATGATTTCTAATACCCCTTTCTGCTTAAATCCCATGGTTCTAAACTGCCCCCCCCCAAAAAAAAAACCACCAAACTTATTTAGATCATCTATGACAGGTATTTGCTAAGTGGGGAGGACACAAGTGAGCTAAACCAGATGTGGTTTCTGCTCCCATGGTGCCTGGAGTCTGTTGTGAGAAGACAGACATTAATCAAATAACCACCTAAACGAATGTGTAACTCCAAACTGAGCTAAGCCCTATGCAGGGAAGGCACGCTGTTCTGTGAGAGCACCATGGAGGAGGCCGACCTGTGCAGAGTGATCAGGAGCTCCCTGAGGAAGTGCGAGCTGAGAACTGGGGGACAAGTGGGAGAAGAGAAGGAGAGACGAAGGCCCGTGTGCTAGGAGCAGACTCTGGGGCCAGGCCATGCTGGAACCTGAGGACCACAGGACAGGTTTTTGTATTTATTCAAGGAGCAGTGGAAAGTGGGGAGTAATTATAGCTGTTGAAGGGAGGAGTTCTATCATCAGATCTGTGTTTGGGGAGGAGGCAGGATTCCTGGGCTTCAGTGTGGAGAACGGGTTGGAGGGGAGCCAGAAGACTGACAGGAAGGCACCAAGAAGCTTCGCAGCAATGTAGTCAAGAGATGGTACAGTTAGGATCTGGGCGGTAACGAGAGAGGAGGAGAGAAGTGGTGGGTTCTAAAGATATTCAGGAAGCAAATTGATGGGAGTAAGAGATAGGCTATGGGAAGTTGAGGGTAAAGGAGGCTCTTAGATTTCTTATTTGTGTAATCAGATATGAGGTTCACTGAGGTAGGAACATCAGAAAAGAACCAGAATCGGGTAAGTTATGAGTTCAAGTTATTAAGTGAGGAGTTTGAAAAGCCTCTGAGACAGCCAAGTAAAAATGACTAGTAGGAACTGGATATATGGGCTTAATGCTCAAAAGAAACATGTAAGCTGATGAGTAGTAATTGAAGCCATGAAGCACTGATGCAGTTTCCTAGAGAAAAAAAATATAGACAAGGCTGAGGCTTACACCCTATTAAGAAAAGCATGTGTATAGATGGAACTCTAAAGGAGATGAATAAACGAGCCAGAGAAGTTGAAAAGAAATGAGTTGTGTTGTCTTGGAAGGAAGTGAAAGAGACCATTTCAAGAACAGAGAATGGTTTACAGTGTCACATGACGCTGAAAAATCAAGCAAAGTAAGGATTGGAAAATACTTTCTAGATTTGAAGCCATGGAGGTCATCTGAGACCTCAGTAAAAGCTGTTGGGTGGACTGGGGTCACAGACTGGAGTGAGTCGAGGAGTGAGTAGAAGATGAGGAAATGGAGACGATGAGATTTGCCATTATCACATGGACAACCCATCTGTCCCTGGCTCAGTTCCTTGACATCTCTACCTCCATATTATAACCTAAACATCCCACTCTCCACCCACAACCTCTCCTCCAATCTACTGTCCCCGCCACTTTCTCTCAATCCTTTACCTGATTTCTTTTTTCCATCCCTTTTCCAGCATGGATTTTATGATTCATTATTTTTAATTTTATGTTTCAATTACAGTTTACATTCATAGAGTTCATTATTTTTGAAACGCTCTTGCTTTACCCCAAAGTCCTTTGCCCTCTGTCTTTTCTAAATACCTAGGGAGGTATTGTGTTACCCAAGATACTGTCTACTGTCTGCTTTCTACTGCCTGCCCCTAGGAGCTGAAAGAGAGAACAGAGGTCAGCATCATTATAAAGTCATAAATATTTTTAAATGGTTCAACTCTTCACACTGCACAGTAGACCAGCTAATTTTTCTCAGGTTAACTTACATTCTAATGACTACTCCAGATCTTTTCTACTCAAACATTCAACCCTGCCCTTTCTCCCAGCCAGCCTCACACATCACCCTCAAACAAAATGATTTTACATCATAATGAGCTAAAACAAGAAAAAGAAAGGCAGAGATGGGAATTCCCTTATCTTCTACCAGTAAACAAAAATGCCCGCCTCAATATGCTTCCATCTTTGACTGCAACCAGAACCAAGGGTCAGCTGCCTGCTGCCATAAAAGCCAAACTCGTGAGGCAGGTGCTGGTGAAAAGGAAGGTGGTTTATTCAAGTGCCAGTCACCTGAAAAGATGGGGAACTCTTGTCCACATCTCTACATCTCAGTGCAGGAGAGGTTTTTATAAGGCGAGGGGTGGAAAGCAGAACAAAGAGATCAAGAAGAGGGGGTTGAAAAATTCTCTACATGCAGGTCAGCATAGTCCATTCTGATAATGATCTCAAAACTGGGCAAGTGATGGTCTGGCGGGCATCATCCTGGTCTTTGTCATCCTGGTTCTACATCATCCTTGTTCTACAGTTGAAGGTCAACAAATCTCCCAGAACTGGAATGACTGAAGGTCGGCATCTGCATCTTCTGAAGTTAATTTCTGGGATTCTTATGCAAACATGCTGTTTATTTACAAGCTGCCTACTAGTCAGAGTCAGCATTTACAGAGACAATGGAAAGAGAATGGTGGGGTGGGTTCCAGTTCCCCACGGTTACACTATCTCCTGTGAAAATGGAGGAGCCGTCCTTCCTCCTGTCATGGATCAGTCCTTCTTGGGTCTGAAAAACTTTCTCCCCCTGGGTGGATTCTCACCCATCAGTCACCCCTTCTTCTGTTCAACTGGGTTTTCTATTGACATTTAAACACACTTGAAGTTTCTCGAATCTAAAACAAAAAGACCCCTTTGAAATCTTTGATTCCCCA